CATCCGCACTTTTTAGCTAAAAATGCAAAAAGCAAGAGTTAGCAGCATCTACAGCCGGTAATTTTTTTCACTTTTCTACATCAAAAAGATACCGCTTTCTTCCCATCTCATCCTCACTTCGAATTTTGCAAAAATTTCACACAGTTATGAAGGTACGACAAAATTTTTATACGATGTAAAGATGATAAATCAGAATATTTCTTCACTTTTTATCTTCTTTTTTTAAACCCAACATTTTCAATTCTTTTAAATCTTAATTATTGCTAATTCAAATCTTTTAGAATCAGCAAAAAATTTGATTTTTACAAGATTAAAAGGCGGAAATTATAACATTTTTCTCAAGTATTACACCACAACGTGTTTTTTTCGCAAAAAAATTAAAAATTTTCATGGTTTCTCACGTCAAAAAAATTCTTTTTAGCTGAAAATGGAGAACAATCCGCTTCAGAAATCCGCAAGCTCAAAATGTGATTAAATTTAGAGAGAACTTTTTGAATCAATTTTATGTTTGATAAAAAAAAAAACGCAAGAGTAGCAAATGCTCAAGACGAGATGATAATGCCCGAACACAGGTCAATAACATCTCGAAATGGCCAAAGTCTTGCCAAGTGCTTTTCCAGACAGAACTTTGACATGGCAATCTTTTCGAAGTACCGAAAATGGGCTTTAAGATCCGAGCTAATCAAGCAGCACTGGTCAGAGCGATTGTAAAAATTATCAGGAATATTGGGAGATTCAGGTTATAAAAATACCAACTGTACAAATTAATACTTTAGGAACTGGAAAAAAAAAAACAAACCATATCCACTTGGCGCGTGCACCTTTTTGGTTGATCTTGCACCGTTCACGTGTTCTCGGATCATGAGTTAGCAAACCAGCTGTAATTGATTACTTTAGAATTTTACATATTTTGAACTCTTTTTACACCAATAACTGTCCAAGTTTAGAATCGCAAAACATAGATTTGCCATTAATCTTACTTTAACACAGAATGCATCCAAACATGTCCTCTTGCACATGATACTTAGTTCGATCCCTTATCTTCTATTCGATCATTTTAACATTTTATGTAATACGCTCGAAAATCAACTTAAAATGCAGTTCCGAATTCGATAACATATGGAATATGATTTCATGCGCATGTTTTTTTTTCTTTATGCAAAATTTTACAGAATTTAAATTTCTTACAGCTACTAAACTCATCATCGGTGTGATGTTTTATTGCAGTTCTGAAGCTGTAGCGTTGAAGACGGGGTACTGCTGCTCAAAATACACCAAAGACATTCAGAAATGGTGAGATCCAACTGTGGTAACGGTAAGAAATGTATACGACTTAATGGACCGGAAGATTTCTTACCTAATTTATTATTTCTATTTATATCTTTCCTTTTTCATTCCTTTTTGATACATTAGGTGAATCCTTTACAGAATAAAAGGATGTCGGGATAATTTGACGAGAAAATCATCAATCGCCGACAAGCTGATCATCAGGCAAAGCAGCATTTGTCAAAACAATTAGTCACCTGCACAGCCCGAGTTTCAACAGATCAAAGCGTCAAAATATTTTAACTTCGACGCAAAATTTCACAAAAAAAAAGAAATTTAAGTTTTTTGCATTATCTAAATTTTTCACATTTTTGTACTCATATTTCTCAGAAACGCAAATCTTTCGATTTTTTTTTTGAATTTTTAAAAAAAACCCCAATCAATAAAAACATGGCTATGTTAGTACGGAATTTACTAGGATGAGGGACAGGATAAAAAGTACCTAGTCGTAGTTTGTCGAAATGCTCAGGAAACAGTGCGGCAATACACAGAGATGCGCCTTGACGGATAATTCGAGGTATAACCGAGGCACCGCCTGGGCCATCTGTGATGTTACCAATTATATCCACTTCTCCCAGCAGATCCGTTACGATCAATGGTGTCATAAAAATTTCCCTTAAAAAAACCAACATTAGCGAAGGAACCAAAAATTTGAAAAAGCGAAGAAATCAGTACAGTAAAAAATTTAA